TGGAACCCATTGTGATGGAACCATTGTGATGGAACCCATTGTGATGGAACCCATTGTGATGGAACCATTGTGATGGAACTCATTGTGATGGAACTCATTGTGATGGAACCCATTGTAATGGAACTCATTGTGATGGAACCATTGTGATGGAACCCATTGTAATGGAACTCATTGTGATGGAACCCATTGTGATGGAACTCATTGTGATGGAACTCATTGTGATGGAAACCATTGTAATGGAACTCATTGTGATGGAACCCATTGTGATGGAACTCATTGTGATGGAACTCATTGTGATGGAACCCATTGTGATGGAACCATTGTGATGGAACCCATTGTAATGGAACTCATTGTGATGGAACCCATTGTGATGGAACTCATTGTGATGGAACTCATTGTGATGGAACCCATTGTGATGGAACCATTGTGATGGAACCCATTGTGATGGAACTCATTGTGATGGAACCCATTGTGATGGAACCATTGTGATGGAACCCATTGTGATGGAACTCATTGTGATGGAACCATTGTGATGGAACCCATTGTGATGGAACTCATTGTGATGGAACCATTGTGATGGAACCCATTGTGATGGAACTCATTGTGATGGAACCATTGTGATGGAACCCATTGTGATGGAACTCATTGTGATGGAACCCATTGTGATGGAACCATTGTGATGGAACCCATTGTGATGGAACTCATTGTGATGGAACCATTGTGATGGAACCCATTGTAATGGAACTCATTGTGATGGAACCCATTGTGATGGAACCATTGTGATGGAACCCATTGTGATGGAACTCATTGTGATGGAACCCATTGTGATGGAACCATTGTGATGGAACCCATTGTGATGGAACTCATTGTGATGGAACCCATTGTGATGGAACCATTGTGATGGAACCCATTGTGATGGAACCCATTGTGGTGGAACCCATTGTGATGGAACCCATTGTGATGGAACCATTGTGATGGAACCCATTGTGATGGAACTCATTGTGATGGAACCATTGTGATGGAACCCATTGTGGTGGAACTCATTGTGATGGAACCCATTGTGGTGGAACCCATTGTGATGGAACCATTGTGATGGAACCCATTGTGGTGGAACTCATTGTGATGGAACCCATTGTGATAGAACCCGTTGTGATGGAACCATTGTGATGGAACCCATTGTGATGGAACTCATTGTGATGGAACCCATTGTGATGGAACCCATTGTGATGGAACCATTGTGATGGAACCCATTGTGATGGAACTCATTGTGATGGAACCATTGTGGTGGAACCATTGTGATGGAACTCATTGTGATGGAACTCATTGTGATGGAACCATTGTGATGGAACCCATTGTGATGGAACTCATTGTGATGGAACCCATTGTGATAGAACCCATTGTGATGGAACCATTGTGATGGAACCCATTGTGATGGAACTCATTGTGATGGAACTCATTGTGATAGAACCCGTTGTGATGGAACCCATTGTGGTGGAACCCATTGTGATGGAACCATTGTGATGGAACCATTGTGATGGAACCATTGTGATGGAACCCATTGTGGTGGAACCCATTGTGATAGAACCCATGGCTCCGAGTTACTAATGTGGCGTCCCATCATTGTCTCTAAATCATAATGGTCCGTTTATGAGCAGCTAGAGTAAGTGTGGCAGCCCTACCAGAATGTATTCCTGATGGAAGGTTAACATTGTGGGTTTATGGAGTGGTTGTAGACGCCAGCGACTGTCAACTATCGAGGATGACTTTTTTTGTGTGTGTGTGGAAGAAAACTTTAGGCTGTATGAAGTGTGTGTGCGTGAGGCTTTCTTACGGTCTTACAAGGACTAAATAAATACATCCTGTTGTATTTTGTTTGTTTTTCCTGCTATTTATTTATCATTCAACTGGTTTAAGTGTGTGTGGCGGTACTGTTACCTGTTCTTACCTGTTGGTGAATTTTAGAGTTCTGTTACTACGTTGGTCTGGCTCCAGTGTGTATTGAAGAGTGTATTTTGGTCCTGGTTAATTTGGAAATGTAGTAAGACTTTTCTACTGTGAGTGAGTTTGCAATATTTTACAAACTCGTAGCAACAGTGAATCTGTCACCGAGAGTTACTGTGCTGTTTAAATTGCCACATGTAATCCATCTACTGCAATACAGACATAAGACAATTATATTCTTCCTAATGAGTGTTGAGAGACTTGAGGTAAATATGAGTTAAATAAGAGCCTAGTGAGCCTAGCCTAGTGAGTTGATAGTGAGGGCGTCAGTCGCCGGCCGGCCACGAGGGAGGCAGGACGAGGTCGCTCCTCTACGCTCACAATACCTTGTCCTCTTGGCCCTTGACACACGCTGCTGGTCCTCCAAGTGTGGAGTGGTCCTCGAGGCGGGACTCGGTGCTCACGTGGAGGGTGGAGACACAGGCACACCACTCCAGATATGACGGTAATGTTAAAATATTATATATCACCGATTATCCGTCTGGGCCATGCGGTTGATCCGGTACTCTCAAGGGGAACCTTTAATGTTTACTAACTTATTTTCTGCCATATAAATGCATCCTTAATTGTTTATATTTTGCTGTTTGGGTTATATATTTGTATAGTAGATATATTAATATTATATCTATATACCTATATACCTCTTATAGTGCTGATAGTGACATGAGGACCATAGTGCATTTATAGACCTTCAACACAATTAGAAAGTTTAGTTTTAACACATTGAATTTGGTCAGACCGAAAAGATTTTCTATTTGTTGCCAAGACAAACTATATTAATCAAACCTCCCTAGGCCTAATGCACACTATCTGAGTCCTTATATAGTACATATGTGTGCTATACGAGGCCTAGGAATGTTGAAGTTTGTGTATTTAGTATTTTTTCGGACTATACAAATATTTATTCAGATAAAGTACATACATACATACATACATACAAGGTGAAATACAAATGTTGATGGATTTATATATAGAGTTCGTACATACAATGCCTAAAGCCACTATTACACAAAGCGTTTCGGGCAGGCACCATAGACTATAAAGTGAATAGTACAAAATTTTACTGTGTAATAGCTTAGTAGGTCAATGTTTGTACTATGGTTATCTTGAGATGATTTCGGGGCTTAAGTGTCCCCGCGGCCCGGTCCTCGACCAGGCCTCCACCCCCAGGAAGCAGCCCGTGACAGCTGACTAACACCCTGGTACCTATTTTACTGCTAGGTAACAGGGGCATAGGATGAAAGAAACTTTGCCCATTGTTTCTCGCCGGCGCCTGGGATCGAACCCAGGACCACAGGATCACAAGTCCAGCGTGCTGTCCGCTCGGCCGACTGGCTCCCAGGTGTACACAGTTACAAGAGTACTCTGTACACAGGAGGCCGGGTTGGTGTCTGGCTAGCGTGAGGTGGACGGCTGAGAGGGACTCCTGCTAAATCGTACCTCTTATTGAACCCAGGAGCTACATTCATATATAATACTCGAGTTACGTACGGAAGCATATTGTATGACCTACAAATATGAACTTTTTTGTTCATAATATATTATAAAAGCCTAATGCATACTAGTTCGGACGTTATCGAAGGTTTCAAACGGAGTTTACTGTATTTTAAGCAACATAATTCCTACGTGTTTGAGGACTATGATAATAGGCTTTGATTCGTTAGGCTCTGGGCAGGTGCTTGTTGGGTAGGCTGAACCACTTCCAATTAGGCCTTGCTAATTTGGGCTGTGTGACTATGGGCTGGCGGTCGGTGTCTTGTGCTCCTGGTTTGTTAAGCATGGAACCCAAATATATTTTATGTAATAGAGGTTATCCAGTGTGTGGACCCCCCCCCCCTGGCCCACGCTGTGGTCCTAGCGGCCACTAACCCTAAACACCCAGTCTTCACTTTTAACCTATTTAACATCCTACTTTCTGCAATATAATATATATATATATATATATATATATATATATATATAATATATATAATATATATATATATATATATATATATATATATATATATATTATATATATAATATATATATTATATATATAATATATATATATATATATATATAATATATATATATATATATATTATATATATAATATATATATATATATATATATATATATATATATATATATATATATATATATAAACACACAAATATGTGTCTTTGTAGTATATGGCTGAAACATTAAAAATGTCAATAATCCAACATCCAACAATATTGTTGGTAAATAATCCATTCATCCACCAATATTGACTGTTCATCCACCTGCAGTATTACGTGGATGTTAGGGGGGGGAGGAGCTCGGGTTTATATATAGCGATGTCGTCGTTATACCGACCAGACCATGTCACTGTAATGGTGGAGAGCCTCGTCTTATTGCAGGGTCGGCGTTCGAGCCCCGACTGTCCAAGGGGTTGGGGCACCGTTCCTTCCCTACGTCATATGCGAGGGAGCCTTGTCCTCATAACTCTTGTATGTGGTGTTTGTTGTTGTTATAGATTCAGCTACTTGGAACAAAAGTTCCAAGTAGCACGGACTATGGTGAGCCCGTAGTGGACTTACCTGGCACAGGAGCGGGGCTGTAACTGCGTATGTGGTGTATAGTCATGCTGGTTTATAGTGCTTTCTCCTCAGTTACCTCACCTTCCCTCATATGTACGGCACTTATGTGGTGGCTGGTTGGGAGGGGTCTAGGGGTGGGGGGGATGAGCCTGGATACCTTATAAGATGGTTAGGAAGCGAAGGAGAGGTGTGGGGGGGTGGGGGAGGGCTACTGGCTTACCTTACTATTAACTGTTCTTTGGGTCCCATCTCTTGCCCACTACCATCCTCACCACCACCCTCCCTAAACCCTCCTACACCCACAACCTCCCCAAGCTGATACGGGTCCAAAGAGACGCAGAAAAACCTTAACCCAAACCGAAAGTAAGTGAATGCTATAAGAAAGAGAGAGAGAGAGAGAGAGGGGGAGGGGGGAGGGGGCGGAGGGGGGATGG